GAGACAACCATGTAGACTGGGCAAGTTACTTAAACTCTTAGAGACTGTTCCCTAATCTCCAAAATAGAAATAACATCTATCTCATTTTATTTTTGTTAACTAGATGACCTCAGTAAAGCATTTTCCACAGTGCCTGGTACACAATGAATGAGCATCCATTAATTCCTACTGTTGATATTATTAATTTTCCTGTATTTACTATTGTTTTCCTCATCTGCGTGTTCCTTCCTCTTCTTGTCTCTATCTCTCTGTTCTCTAACTAGGTCTCTGGCTCTTAAACTTTTTTCATAGCAACTCAGTAAGAAATATACGTAAGATCAAGACCCAATACACAATATTCAAAGGACAGCTCCATGAGGACTGGGACATTGTCTGTTTTATTCACTGCCATGTCCCAAATGCGCAGAAGTGCTCAACAGACAATATGTACTAAGTGGGCAGTGTATGCTGATATATTATACTCTAGTCTTACTTTAATTTATTTATTCTAATAAAAAATGCTAAATGTGACCCACAGAATTGATTTTTTTAATCCACTATTTGGTAGTGACCTTTAGTTTGGAAAACTCTCATCCCTATTTTGTGCAGGGTCTTCATTTCGTTCATAAGGTACACCTCTTGATGAGGGCACAAGGTGACACAGAGCCTTGAGGTTATCATAAAGGCTTTCCTTTCTCTCATATCCCACATATATTCCATCCACAAATCCTCATGAATATACCTTCAAAATATATCCAAAATTTGACCACCGCCCCTGCTAACTACCCTGGAGTTAGACACAAACAACCCTTGCCTGATTAACTTCCCACTGATACCTCTGCTTGTTCCCCTGCACCTCTACAATCAATCCACAACACAACAGCCAGCCAGATCCTTAAAAAAAAAAAAAAAAGAAAAAGCCAGATTACATCACTTCTCTGATCAAACCACAGTATGGCTCCTGAGGGCATTCAGAGCAAAAGCTCTAAATATTTTCAGTGATATACAAGGCCTTCATTTTTGCTGCATCCATCTCCACGTTAACTCTTGGCTCTCACCTACTACTTCTTTCCCATAACTCTTCCTTGTCCAACCAGGCGAACTTTCCTGCTGTTTCTAGAAATACTCAGCATGTCATATATTAAACACTTGGATGGACTGCTGACTCTGCCTGCAGCTCCCTACCCTAAATACCCACGAGGTCAACTCGTTCCCCACAAAGTCTTAGCCCAAATGTCACCTTCTCTAGGAGGATGGACCTGATGACCTCTGGTAATTCACTTCTCAGCCCCCCACACTCTCATCTTATTCTGCTTCTTTTCCTTCACAGCACGAGCATCTACTAAATCAATATCATTTTCTACCCTGACATGATGGAATATAAACCCCACAGGGACACAGATCTCTGTCCATTTTCTTCACTGGAAACAAAGTATGGCACATAACAGATGCTTAATAAATATTTTTAAAAGAATAAATGCAGCCTGGTGTTTTGGAGGAAAAACACGATTAAATTCACCTTCGGAAAAATTCCCAGCCAAAAATTACTATTTGCCCCTTTGCTACAGAGAGAAACATGCAGAGACAGAACAACAGAAGGAAACTGTTTTAAAAATGCAGAGAATAATGGATAACAAAAAGCTTAAATCTGAGAAAACACAAATTATCAAGCATTTGCTATATTTATCGAGTTTACGTCTTTGGATAAACTCTACTCTACACAACTGAATTCACATAACATGTTTTTACTTGGCATTTATCTAGAGATCTTCCCTACCTCATGAACAGATTTTAACTTTAATACTTAAAAAATGAGCCAATATTGGTTAAGAGAATATCACACTCACAAGCTGGCTTTTTAATCTAAATTTTATGTAAATCCAAAACGAGTACCAATATTCAGTACATAAAGAACTGTACGCAATCAATACTCTTTAGAAAATTAGTCAGAGACAAATTCTTCTCCATACTATAATTATAAAGATTACCAATTCTCTAAGTAATACCCTACATATAATTTATCATATATCAATTAGTCCAGTTCTCCTTTACCAACCTTTATAGCTTTTTTACCAACATACTCAGAAAATCAAGTTGACCTTTAACTTTTTTAATGTCTTAATATTTTAATAAAATGGATACTGCTTTCTCCATAAATTCGTTCATAAGTCTGTAAAACATTTCTAAAAAATATTGAAAACAAGCAATACAATTTGCACACAGTGTAAAATTACAACTCAAAATTTTAAACCTTTGAAATACTGATCTCATTTTCTTTAGCTATACTTCCACTTTCTGAGTACATCTACCTGTTTCCAACTAATTGTAAAAGTTCAAGGTTATTTCTATGAACGTTGACATTGCGAATAATAATACTGCTGTAGTGTATTCCCTTTCATTTTCTCCTTGTACAACAGAACTCAAATTTAAAGTTTTGTAAATGAAAATAATCCAAAAAAAGATTTATTTTGATATCTGTATTGGTCTTTCTCCAAAAACTATTTAAAACAGTAGAAATTTATATATAATTACTCCTTTTTCCCTCAGTGCTAGATTAGTAGGAAAGAAAATGTTTTAGGAAACAAAATTGAGGCATCACAGCGGCAAACCTGTTTAAAAAAGCTTTATTTTAAAAGTTGGAGGTTTAAATATCATTTAAATACTTCAAGAATGTTTAAGTTTGAGATAAGGGCTTGGAAGTTTACTCCAATATAAACATGTTTTCAAATAACATATGTTCTACCTGACAATGCATTTGGCCTCGTTCCATACCAATTTCCTCCTCTTAGAAAAGAAAAATGACAAGCTACTTTTTTTTTGCTACTTTCCTTAGGTATCATAAAGTACTTGTGTTTATCTAAAAGGTAGGTCTTCTCAGATGGATGCTGAAATTTTTAGAGGTGAGAGGTGATAACTTCTGTAACTTACTTCCAAATGGTGTAGTCAATCAAACAATGAACGGAAAATACACACACATATGTATATATATAGAACAAGTACAGTAAATGGTACAATAGTTAAATCTAAATGGTGCATATATAGGTACTTATTGTACTATTCTTTCAACCCTTTAGGTGCTGGAGAGTTTTTATAATAAAAAGAAAGAAAACTTTGCAAACAAATCAATGGGCAAAGGATTAATCTCCAAAATATAAAAACAACTCATGCAGCTCAATATCAAAAAAACAACCCAATCAAAAAACAGGTGGGAGACCTAAATAGACATTTCTCCAAAGAAGACATACAGATGGTCAAGAGCCACATGAAAAGATACTCAACGTCACTAATCATTAGAGAAATGCAAATCAAAACTACAATGAGATATCACCTCACGCCGGTCAGAATGGCCATCATCAAAAAATCTAGAAACAATAAATGCTGGAGAGGGTATGGAGAAAAGGGAACCCTCTTGCACTGTTGGTGGGAATGTAAAATGATACAGCCACTATGGAGAATAGTATGGAGGTTCCTTAAAAACTAAAAATAGAATTACCATATGACCCAGCAATCCCACTACTGGGCATATACTCAGAGAAAACCATAATTCAAAAAGACACATGCACCCCAATGTTCATTGCAGCACTATTTACAATAGCCAGGTCATGGAAGCAACCTAAATGGCCACTGACAGACAAATGGATAAAGAAGATGTGGTCCATATATACAATGAAATATTAGCCATAAAATGGAACGAAATTGGGTCATGTGTAGACATGTGGATGGACCTAGAGATGGTCATACAGAGTGAAGTAAGTCAAAAAGAGAAAAACATCGTATATTAACACCTGTATGTGGAATCTAGAAAACTGGTACAGATGAACCTGTTTGCAAGGCAGCAACAGAGACACAGGCGTAGAGAACAAATGTACGGACCCCAAGTGGGGAAAGGGTGGGTGGGATGAATTGGGAGCCTGGGACTGACATATATACACTAATATGTATAAAACAGATAACTAATGAGAAGCTGCTGTACAGCACAGGGAACTCCACTTTGCTGTACAGTAGAAACTAACACAACATTGTAAAACAACTATACCCCAATAAAAAAATAAAATACAATAAAATAAAGCAAAAAACTAATCGTTGTACACATGTTACTTCATTTTAAAAAATCCTTGTCTTACTCTTCCCCTGTTCAAGAAAATGAAACAAAATGAACAAAAAGGAAATGCATCAAATGATTTTTTTTTTTTTTTTTTTTTTTTTGCGGTACGCGGGCCTCTCACTGTTGTGGCCTCTCTCGTCGCGGAGCACAGGCTCTGGACGCGCAGGCTCAGCGGCCATGGCTCACGGGCCCAGCAGCTCCGCGGCATGCGGGATCTTCCCGGACCGGGGCACGAACCCAAGTCCCCTGCATCGGCAGGCGGACTCTCAACCACTGTGCCACCAGGGAAGCCCATCAAATGATTTTTAAGAGTTGCTTTTGTATGGTGAATATATGAGAATTATTCCTTTTTCTTTCTATTTTGTTCTAAACTTCAAATTTTCAATATTAACAAATAAAAATTCTATCCTTATTTTTGGTCCCTTAAATAAGTTATTTGCTGAAAGAAAAATAGTATTGTTTTGAAGATTAGATATGAAAACACTGATATTCTTTAAAATCTGTATTTTCCCTTTACACTACAGATTACCAGATTTAGCCATTTTGGTAACAAAGTCATGAATTAACATTCTCAAATTCTGATTAATTGTTATATTCATAACACTACAGTAGATCCATAATATTTTTTGTACCCATGTATCTATTCTTTTTTTTATTTGAATTTTATTTTATTTTTTATACAGCAGGTTCTTATTAGATCCATGATATTAAATGCCATTATATTTGTAACGAAAATATAATGGTCTGCAAACATTAGGGAGCACAATAAGAACCAGTTATCAGAAGAGAAAATTAGAATTTCCTTTCTGGGACAAAAAAAAGACTTGTGGAGGATTAGTTCAACTTTAAAAAATTATTTAACAAATGATTCAAGTATAGTTCTAACTTCAGTTTAGAAGATATAGCTTATTGTTACCTCCTAGGCAGCCAATGAATGAAAGCAGGATCAACTGTTTCCATGACAACATCATCTTTAATTGCCAAAAGCAAGAGTAACTCTTGTCCAGTCTCTGATGAATAGAATGCTGTGTCTTCAGGTGAATCCTTTAATCTGTAAAATAAATATACAAAGAAGTCAGACTTGAAAAAATGAATTGCTTTAAAACATAGATTTTCTTCTTTTCATAAAACTGTACCACTCTCAACCACTCAAAATCCCCAAATGAAATGAAACTTTTTTGGTGCAAAAAAGATGTATGATATGTACATACTTAAAAAACTGTTTATGTAACTGATAGGCAGACAGACAGGCTTCACGAAATTAGAAATGTTTGACGATACTAAAATATTAAATATTAGTATATTATGTATTGAAACTTTTGCTAGATAGTAATTACAACAAGTAAAATATTACCCTGAAATTGTAATTTTTCTCATTTTCTCTCATGATAATATTTTTGGTTAAACTAAGAGTCAAATCAGCAGATTTGATATCTTGAAGCACTGCTTTTCATAGTCTCTGAATCCCTCATAGGCATATAAATTATAAATAACATTATCAGTGTTCATTTTAAGCCTGTTTTTTCAGAAACAATTGCAGAAAGCCCTCAATTACATATGTTGAATTAAAAATGCTAATGATGTTAATCATTAGAGAAATGAAAATCAAAACTACAATGAGATATCATCTCATACCGGTCAGAATGGCCATCATCAAAAAATCCAGAAACAATAAATGCTGGAGAGGGTGTGGAAAAAAGGGAATACTCTTGCACTATTGGTGGGAATGTAAATTGATACAGCCACTATGGAGAACAGTATGGAGGTTCCTTAAAAAACTACAAATAGAACTACCATACGACCCAGCAATCCCACTACTGGGCATATACCCTGAGAAAACCATAATTCAAAAAGACTCATGTAGCAAAATGGTCATTGCAGCTCTATTTACAATAGCCAGGACATGGAAGCAACCTAAGTGTCCATCGACAGATGAATGGATAAAGAAGATGTGGCACATATATGCAATGGAATATTACTCAGCCATAAAAAGAAACGTTATTGAGTTATTTGTAGTGAGGTGGATGGACCTAGAGTCTGTCATACAGAGTGAAGTAAGTCAGAAAGAGAAAGACAAATACCGTATGCTAACACATATATATGGAATCTAAGAAAAAAAAAATGTCAAGAAGGACCTAGGGGTAAGACGGGAATAAAGACACAGACCTACTAGAGCATGGACTTGAGGGTATGGGGAGGGGGAAGGGTAAGCTGTGACAAAGTGAGAGAGTGGCGTGGACATATATACACTACCAAATATAAAATAGATAGCTAGTGGGAAGTAGCCGCATAGCACAGGGAGATCAGCTAGGTGGTTTGTGACCACCTAGAGGGGTGGGATAGCAAGCGTGGGAGGGAGAGAGACGCAAGAGGGAAGAGATATGGGGACATATGTATATGTATAACTGATTCACTTTGTTATAAAGCAGAAACTAACACACCATTGTAAAGCAATTATACTCCAATAAAGATGTTAAAACAATGTTAATGATGAAAATTGTTCAGTATGAGAATCTTGCAAATGAAACTACTTTATTTTTTGCTTTCCTGAATTTTCATAAACTGAATGTGCTGGCTGAGAGTAAATAATTGTGTGAATACCCTGTGTCATTTTCAATGGCCATTTGAAACTACCTAAACTGCATGGTTAATGATCAAGTAGGCTGGATGCACACACTTAAAATCAGAGAAACTTTTTTCGATTGCTAGAACTCAGCTGGTTCCACACAGGGAAATGAACGACTTTAATGTCAGCCATTTTAGCAGAGAAGGTGTACAGCTCTCAGTCAGTAGCTGCTATGGATTGGGCTGTCTTAGCTGTTGCTAAGCAAACGAGGGAAATCTCAGTGGTTCTTAACTATGGGATCCTGCCATGTGAGGTGATATATTCAATTAGAATTAAGTGTGTTCCAAATAATAATAATTTCAAGTGTGAAAATATGACATCTTGCAAGTTACATACTTAAAATAATATATTAAATCAGTTATTCCTATAGTAACGCTGCTCTTGTTCACTTGCAATATAACGTACATTCTTGGGGAAGGCGAGGGGAGTAAGTGGTGGAATGGCTAGAATTCCGGGATTTAGGCATAACTCTGACTTGGCCCATAGGACTCTGAAACAGGTGGAAATACAATTGAGAACTACTCCTCTAAGAACTGCAGGTTGGCAACTTACACCATCATGGGATCTGTGACCATTTCTAACTGTCCCCATTACTACAAATTGCAAGTGTCTTAGTTTAGTTTCCCCTTAATGCAACCACTGCAAAATGAATTCAAGTGCAAGCAGTTTACTTGAGAGGTGAATGACAAAAATAGTCAGGACCTGGCAAAGTAAGAGAGGGAAAGGAAGGCAGCTGATAAAGGGTAAGATATGAACCCATCAACCCCTGTGTCTAAGTACAGCTTATTCCTTCTGGGGAAACTCTGGAAGTCCAGCCTGTGTAGAACGTATGCCTCAGAGTAATCCCAGAGTTATGCTTCAGTTGTCCAGTTATCCTTGCCAAGGGGCAAGGGATCTGGGGTATTTATACACCAACTCCCATGAGTCATCGTTTGGAGGCTATTTTCAGGGAGTATTAATGAGCCAGCACTTCTAGCCTCTCATAGGGACAGCAAAATGGCTTCAGAGGCAAAAAAAACAAACAAACAAACAAAAAAAAACATTACGTCCACTCAAAAAATGCATTTGGTGGCAAGTGGAAGTGATGTGTGCACTGAAGTGATAATGGCAAGAGTCACATGTGGTGTCTGTCACACTGTGCATATGAAACTGAGACATTTTGAAGCTATTTTCAATAGCATTCAGTCCCAGGAGACTTATGGCCAAAATCATGAAATTATTTAAGTATACAAGGAAGGACACACATTCTACTTCATTCAATAATTACTTCTCAAGCCTTTCCAGTGGTTGATTTCCCCCACTTGGACCAAGGGCTTTCAGATACCTAGCCTGCCTTCCTTTTTCCTGATTAATCAGTAAGACATTTTGTATCCATAATTATTTTCAATTACTAAGTTGAATAATAACTTAAATCATTCTAGATTACACTTAAATATGACAGCCATAACCACCATAACTTCCTTCTAATCATGCACGTGAGGAAACCGTAGTCCAGAAATCATGAGAAGAATGACATACACACACATATACACAGTAGAAAAGCAAAAAACTTTTTTAAACTTTTCAAATAAAAAACAATGACAATTATTCATAAAAGGCACTGGAAACATTAAATGCAGTAATATGATACATGAAATGTCAAATATTCATAAAAAGTTAGGCAGCAGTTGCAAGGTATATTAAAGGCTGGGGACAACGGTTAAGTCTCAAACACAGGAAAGCCTTGAGGAGTAAAACATTATCAAACTAGTATTTCATTCTTTGAGGAGTTAAAGCTATCCATTAAATGGACTTAGAAAGAATTTGGTAATAACAAAATAACAGACTTAAAAAGAACAGGTTGTTGGAGTTTTCAAGAAGAAAGGACAAACTTTAGCAGAAGATCCTGTAGTAACATCATCACAATCATTAAAATGCATCCATATAAATGTGTGAGGCTTTGCTCTATGTCATAAAGACAACAAAACATATGGTCTATGTTCTAATACTGCAACGGGAAAAGAAAATATTATAAACACTTGTAAGTAGGATAAGGAGAAAATTACTAGACTGATACATCTTTAAAAGTAGGACCACAGCTTTTCCACCACTGGTTGCTGCAATGTTTCTAACACCCTGTACATCATTTTAGGCTTTTAAGTAATTTTTCTTGCTGAGCTTTAAGAAAAATGAACAAGTCAATTTGGGAGATTAAACCATTTCACTGGTCATCGAGTGAGAAGCATTTCTACGGAAAGAAAAGATAAGCCACAGCATGGGATCTAGCCACCACTTGAAAATTATTTCAGAAAAATGTGTAAGAAGGCATTAAGTAGATGGTAAATTAAAAAAAAAAAAGTTATCTTCCCAACAACGCATCCCACAACTAACACGCATATCAGCTACATTTGCAAAGTATAAGTATGTTCAAAGAAGTCCTAAAGTCCTTTTGAAAATTCATTCATTCAATAAATATTTATTAAGCTCCTATTAGGTGCTAGAATTTTAATTCTGGAAGAAGATGAAGATGGGGTTCTCAGATAATTGATGATCCCTGCCCTCATGGAATATACAAACTAATGGGACTGATATATGATTCAATTATTTACAAAGTATATGTAAACTGACCACTGTGAAAGGTACAATGAAGGGATAGGAGTTCCTAGTGAAAATCTCAATGAGAACAACCCTCATCAGGAAGGTCAGGAGAAGCTCCTCTGAAGAACTGCAGTGAAATAGAAGAAAAGAAGAGATGACATAACCAGATGTGTGTATGTTTTGCAGGGTGAGAAAAGGAAGAAATTTTCCAGGTATAGACAAAGACTTGGTATGGCCTTGAGTTGGTAAACAGGCTGGTGAGTAGCCACTGTCTGGGCCCTCTCCTATCAATTAACCACCCTGTCTCCCAGGCTGGCCGAGAACCCCACCCCACCAACTAGACGTACCACCTAAAAATTAGTGACTGGCTCTACAGGGGGTTTCCAGAATTCTGCTCTAGCCCATGTCACTTCTGATTGCTCAGTGCCCATGTCCCTACTGCTGGTTAAATATTTTGGCAATCACCCCTGGGCGTAAAGAATAGAATATGCAAAAGGCCCTGTGGCTTCAGTGTTCATGGCTTATTGTACGGACAGAAAGAAGATTGATGAGATAGAATGCAGATGGCCAAGTTCACTGTGGTGTGAAATGAGACTGCAAATGTATAATAGGGGTCAAGCTTCTATGCCTGGCTAAGAATATTAGTATCAGGATAAAGCCCTTTGAAAACACAGTACAATTTTAACCAGGAGTTGACATGATCAGATTTACAATGAACATTCAAATCAGACAATATTATAATCTGTATCAGGCTTAAAAGGATAAAAAGACAACACATTTTGCAACACACCAATTTTGTTCTTGCCTTCAAATTCATAGAAGTCAGACGCTAGACAATATTAACCAAA